TGGAAAAAGAAAACACAAAACATCCCCTTGCAGAAATGTTTTGTTTCTTTTTTCTTGTTAATTTTATTATATATATAAGGGGGCATTCCCAACAAGGCAAACACACAGTCTAAGGATTGCGGTTGGATCCACCGTGTTGCCATCATGGTAAGAGGTGAAAATAATACGTCGCAATGCTTTGTTGGTAAATAAGTGTCCTGCTTTTGAACAGAATGCTTTGAGATAATACTTTACACAAAATAATCAACATATGGATACTCTCTTGATACAATGAAATGTAAAAAATATATAATTTAAAATGCATAATTGTACAGCTGTATGTGTGAAAGAGGTACCTGTCAAACAAATTTAAATATGATATATATGTTCATTACTACAAATAAAAAAAATGTGATAAGTATTGATAATTGATGTGTTTGAATTCCATAACAGTTATTTTAAAGCATCTGCAGAAACGCAATTAGCAAACATAGAAAGGAAACGTAGCGTAAAGGAAGCGTTTTGTGTTCAGGATGGCCGTGTGGTTATGGCCTTGGACTTCAGCACCGTTTGCAAAATGCGGCCGCTCTTCGCTTTCAGGTAGTGCGGTATTGGGGCTTTCCTGCAGGAACTTTAAAGTATAAAACTAATATGTATCAAAAATGAAAAATATAAAAAAAATACATATAATTAAAATGTGGCAATTTTCACAACAGATTAGACCGTACTATAAATGCCGGCAATAGCAGAAGCTCATCGCAAAATGGCAATCTTTGGATCTTCCATTATTGCAATGCTGTATAAGTGAAACTCATCACATCCAGTGAGTGGACGTAATTGCAAAGGTGGTGGTTATCCGATTGACTGTTGTGTCTGCAGGTTCGATTCCTGCTACTGAACAGCGGTTCTTTTTTCTTTCCTAAAGATATAAATAATGTATAGACTTTCGTGAGATTATCGAATGTTTGATTTTAAATTCATGATTTTTTTAAAAAAAATAATGAGATTTGAGAAAATAAATTATATTTATATAATGACATTTTTTTTTCAATATCTTATCGGAAATTAAATATTCATCAGTCAATTAGAAATTTCATAATATTTCTATTTTTAAATTTATGTTCACGAAGAAATTATTTTGCACAAAGAGTTTAATTTCAAAAACAAAGCGAACTTACAAAAATATATTTACAAAAAACTTTTTACGATTCATTAAATCCTCTTTTTAAATTTCAACATCGGACTCATGTTATTCTCTGCTAAAATTGTAAGGATTTTAGTCGCAATCACCAAATCTCGAAATACGAGGGTGGTCCGAAAAGTTTCCGACCTAACGAAGATTTAAGATATTATTTCAGATTTTTTCTTTTTTTTGATTTTTCAACAGTCTCCTTGTAACTGTACACACTTCTTCCAATGATGTTCCCATCTCTGTAACCTATTTAAATAGTACTCGGCGTTTTTCTCTGCAAAATAATTGTTCACGAAGGTGATTGCCTTTTCATTTAAAGCAAATCTCTGTCCTCCGAATTCAATTTTTAAATGAGGGAAAAAAGAAGTTGCTTGGGCCTAAATCTGATGAGTACGATGGATGGTCAGGAAATTGAAACCGTAATTTGTGGATTTTCGCCATGGCAACCACTGAGATGTGAGACTATGCGTTGTCTTGGTGAAAGAGAATTTTCTTTTTGTGCAAATGTGGCCGTTTTCCCGCAAGTTTGGCCTTCAGATTGTCAAGTAATGATGCTTAGTATGCTCGTGTAAGGGTTTTTCCGTTTTGAAGATAATTGATAAAAATAACACCATGACTATCCCAAAAAAACAGTCACCATCACTTTCTAAGCCTCCCAAAATAGTTTTTGGTTTTTTTGAAGCTGGTTTACCCTTTGTAGTCTACTCTTTGGAATGTATTTTTTTGGGCGTATAATGGTGTATCCACGTTTCATCTACAGTAAAAAATAGGCTCCAAAACTTGGATTTATTGCACCTAAACAGCGACAACAGAGCGTTTGAAATGCTCATTTGAACATGTTTTTGGTCTAACGTGAGCAAACGCGGCACCCAAATCGCGGACAGCTTTCTCATGCATAAATGTTGATTTAATATTTTACAAACACGTTATTTTGACATGTTCAGAACATCTGCTATCTCTCTCTCTCTTTAATTTGGCGGTCGTATAGCACCATTTGGTGAACTTTGGCATTTTTTTCGACGGTAGTTGCAGTATTAGGACGTCCCAAAAGTTCAACGTCTCCCAAGCACTTACGGTCACGTTAAAATTCAGCTGCGAAAGGTTCCACTAAGGTAAATGGTGGTGCAGAGTCGCCATACACAGAATCCAACTCATCTATGATCTGCGTAGACTTATCGCCTTTCAAAAACAGATACTTAATGCCAACTCGATATGTCCATTTGTTTGTCCATTTTCACAAAAACTCTAATATCAACTTACTCAAACGACTGTCACATAACAACCGTTCGTCCAAAATGGCTGAAACTTTAGAGTAATTTTCAACAGATGAACAACGAAATTCACTAACTTTTTTGACAAATGCTGCTATCTTCATGCTCAGGTCTTAAACTTTTTAGACCATCCTCGTAAATCCCTCTCTCTCTCTCATTTGGCATTCAGTACTTTCTTATCATTAAATTATTAGGATAGCAACCATCTCAATGGTTTTAAATATTCTATTCATATTCAACACGTTTTTCTTGTCCTATTACTCTGCAATGTAGTGTCAGCAAAGGCTCACATGCAAAAATGCCGTCTATTTGAATGAAAAAAGATTAGCCTTTTTTTAACTGAAAGTTTTTTTCTTTTTTAAAAAAAAGTTTGTGTGTGTACTTATGTACGCTCACAAGAAGTTATACTTCTTTGGTGTAACAAGTTAAAATTTTCAAATCTTTCAGGCCGCTGGGCCAGGACGAAAGTTGAACGTTCTAACTTAGTCAATCGGACCAGCCAACCTGAGATAATCAGGGATTTCAATAAAAACGCCCCTCACAGGAACAATAGGACCAATAACATGGGGGATATCAGACTGTATCTGGAGATGAAGTAAATCGAATGTGACACCTGAAACCTCATATTGAATGTCTCATCGGGAAGAACCGTTCCTGAGAAAATTAAGACATCCGCCTGAAGATCCCGTGAGTTATGGTCATTTTAAAATAATTAAAACATTTAAAACAATTAAATAAAATAGAAGCAGGGCGCCTAGCAACTCGAACCTGGGACTGGTTGTGAGCAAACACAAGAGGAATCCATTAGAACCGGTCCGGAGTCTGTAGTTTCAAATGTGGTGGGGCTAGCTCGAGAAAGGTAAACCAGACTAACTTCCCCCGGGGGGAATAACTGTGACGTAAATGGTCACGTACATTCCAACGATACACAGAGTAATAGGTGATTCAAAGTTTCATCCTTCTATCTCTGTAGTATCGTTACGTCATCAAAAGATCTCTCATTTTCTCAGATCATCTAATTTTAGTGATAACGCCTCCGCCTAAACCCACTATCTACACACGAATTATAACAGATGAAACCAATCAACGAAGAGAACCTATGGTGCGAGTTTCATTAACGAATCTGAAAAATCCTCGGAGATATACAGGATTTAAAAAAAAATTATAACTAAAATAATTTTAGAATGATAAATATGGGTAAAGAAATGGGGTTATGGTCCTAAAATATATATCTAGGGTGCTTATAGGAAGAACAATCGAATCCAGCCGGTGCGGTAGACCAAGGTGGCATAGGATTCGAGTTATTTATGGGGAAGCCCTGTAGGGGGGGATTCCACGTAAAGCTCGCACTAATACGAAAATAAGTTGAACCATCAAAAATCAAGTTCCAATATCAATTCCTTAGGGAAAGGAAATTTTTTCCAGTCCCCATAGGATTAACATGGAAGCATGATATTATAGTGCTTAAGCCTTCCCCATGCCTACACAATGGGAATGAAGCAGATGGCTGGTGAGGTCTCGACGAGTAGAATACTTGGTTCAAATCTCAAGTCCAAGATTCGAACAAGAGCCAAGATATTGTGAATTTAAACAAATTTAAAGAAATTAAGACAATTAAAAAGTATGAACTAAATAGCCCTATGAGCATGAAATTATAATAACTGGAAATTATAATAACCCTATGAGCATGAAATTATAATAATAATAGATAGATATCGAATGAACCAGGTCCGAATGTACTGTGAGACTCGGGTGCCGATATATTGTTCTAATAGCTGTAGGGGGAGGGAATGCGTCCCAACAGATATGGTTTATAACAATAGTTATGATCCCCCAGCTATCAGTCCCATAGCACCAAAAAAGTGGCATGCTAAATTATTAGACTACGGTGAGAGCGCGCGTATCGGTGTCGTGAAGGTATGCTTGCGCATCCGTGACTGTCTGCTCACGCATCGTAAAAAATTACCCTCATCCTTTTTCCTTAACGCCCAAAAAGAATTATAACTTTAAAAATAAATATACGAATACAAAAGGCTCTTATAATTTGCTGCAATGTAATAAATGTGTTTATGTTCATCGCAAAGCGTTCGTAGTAAATACATCTATAATCATATACTTACAATTGTTATTTAAATAGGTAAACTAATATTTACTCTTATGTTTTATGTACATGAAGCACAATTTAAAGATTAATTTATTAATTATTTTTTAATTTCCTGTAAGTATGTTTGGTTTAATAACAAAAGGTTTTCAAACAAATTCATCAGAGAAGCTCCGTAGGCGAAGGACAATCTTTCCCTACTAGTAGTGACGTCACAAATCAGCGCAAAGCAAGGGTTCGCAGACACGTGGGGTATAGCTCTGTGACAGAGCATTCGATTGCAGATCGAGAGGTCCCCCGTTTCAAACCCGAATGTCCTCCTCTTCTTCAGGGAAGGGAAGATAAATGTTTGTTGAGGATTTCGAAGGTGGAAATGATCTGTCCCGTTCTGTATATTTCTAGACAAAGCATTTTCGCATCCGTTCCCAAGGAACGCAAAGCTAAGGCTCGCTGAAGCGGGGGTAAAGCTCTGTGGTAGAGCATTCGACTGCAGTTCGAGAGGTATCCGGTTCAATCCCGAGTGTCCTCTTCTTCAGGGAAGGGAAGAGAAATATTTTTCTGAGAATTTCGAAGGCGGGAATGATCTGTCCCATTCTGTATATTTCTAGACAAAGCTTTTTCGCATCCGTGTCATATCCGTGACGGGTTTGCGTCACATTCGTGACGGTGTGCGCACGCATCGTCAAAATGTACCCTAATTCTATTTCTCTAACGCCCCAAGAGAAGTATAACTTCAAAAAGTATACTTTTGTTCTTTTTATAGAGTAGTACAAGGAATTGATACTGGGGTCACTTCACGCAGCATTTTCCCTATCTCCGTAATGTTAAAAATGACCAATTTTAAGGAACATTTTTAAAAAAAATTGGCAGGTTGTACAGTCATGAATTTTTTTGTGGGCATTCATTGTATTGTTTTTATTATTTTAATGGGAGCATTTTTCAAAATTTTGATTAGTTTTTTTTAAAAAAATTCATATGTGGAGTAACACGTCAAAATTTTTAAAACGTTGAAAGTTCTTGTACATTTTAATCCACAAGTATTTTTTGAATAAATTTTTTGACAAAATCTCCCATTAAAATATTTACTTGTATAGTGTTAACACATGTGCAAAGTTTCAAGGCTATAAAATAAGTAGTTTTTTCAAAAATGTTCCTTTTGTTTTGAAATTTACACTTTTGAGAAATGGAGATTTAAAGTAAAAACTTACCACTAACTAATGCATACCAGATCTATAATTTGGATTGCTGGTGTCATCTGCAAGATTATCTTCTTGTCTACATTTTATTTGTTTGTTTTTAATTCTAGCTTCTTTGGTTCATTGTAAATCTGCCTATTCTGCTTTCCTAATACACGCATAATCTACTTCTTGCAACTCTCGACATTTGTAAAATCCAGGGGTTATATATTGAATGTTTAATACATCTAAAACTTTTAATTTGGTAATAAAGCCTTGATTATATAAACATATAGCTTCATGTACTATAGTTTTTAAAGTTCCCAACTGCACAAATACAGTTTTTTGAATTATACACCAAATACTATTTCCGCTTTCACTAATATTTTGAGTTTTATCAAGCAAGCATTTAGATAAAATTTCAAGACTACAGACCTCTAAATACTTATTTATGCAATTCCTAATTGCAATAGGGGAATTGTGTTTATATGCTTATGTGTAACCTTTCAGTATGGACATATTATATCTACACCACGAGTCACTTCCCATGGGGCATAAACCGTGTCGTAGATTCAAATCTGGGGAGATTTTATCAAAAATATAAGCCCAAAAGCTTGCCTTATGACTGATAAGTTTACTGAGTTGTTTTGAATAGCTGAAACATAGTACCTTTGCAATTTATCTATTTCTGCATCTGTCAATCTATTACGCCATTTTTTTTTCTTGAACTCTTTGCCTTTTAATTTTAATGCCTTAAGTTGAGTCCCCATCCTTTTCTCAACATTACCAACACATTGTAATTTTTTAATGTTGTAATGTAATAATCCCTTTAAAGTTTAGATTCTAAAACCGCTTTGCATACTTTAGAGTTCTCATATAGTTCAAGTATTGTGTACTTCGCAAATTGTGCAATGCCTTTGATCGATGGAAGATTCGAAGTGCTACTTCACTTCCATCTCGTATTATTCCCAATGTAATTTGCCAAACACTCATCGGTATGTACATTGCCGTTAAAATTACATGAACATTTCCTTGATAGTATTTCAGCATCAACAATTTTCACAGTGTCCACATTAACTGCCGTAACGATAACATTTTGGGAAGTATACCCCTTTTTTTTGCCAGGTACTATCGATAAAAACCAGTACATGCTACTTTCTATGTTGCGTTATTTAATGTATGTCTCGACGTAAAGCCACTTTGGTGCAAGGGGGTAAATTAAAACCCCGCAAAATATTTATCCCAACCCAATTTTTTTTCAATATATCTCAAAAATATAAAAAGCCTAGTGTTCCTTTTTTTTTTGTATTTTTTATTAACTACTGCCTTTGAAAAACCTGGTATTAAAAAAAATATTGGAATAAGCCCAAAAAAAACCCCAAATATTAGAAATTTTGTAGAAAACCCTGGTTTGGAAAACCAAAATTTTTTAAATCCTTTGTTTTTTCATTTTATTTATGTAAAAAAAGTTGTTTCCAAAACACAAGAAAAAAAGGACAATGTCAGTCATTTTTACAAAACATTCAAAAAGAATCTAAAAGGAACATACACTTTATTAAACTTACCTAACTTTACTTTCAAAATTGAATTATTTATGTTGCAATTGTCTGACTGTTATGCAACATTTAATTCCTCAAAAAGTTGGATTTTTGTACTTATTTTTAGAAAATTTCGTTTTTTAAGTGTTTTATTATTAAACAGGCATATTTATAAAATATTTTTGATAAAAAAACAATTCTACACAATATCAAAAATTCGTTATATTTAACCACGTAAAAAACAACATGTAAGCTACCACAAAGTAAACAAACAGCTCCAACTATTCACTTAACTTCTTTCCTGAATAAATTGCTGATCAAAATAAATCCTTTTGATCAATTTAAACTATTTGATAAGGCTAAAAAGTAGCATGTGTCTTTTGTTTTCATCTAAAAGGGGCGTGGCATTCAGCTGTTTTAGGGTTTGACAAATGTAAGAAACTTTTAAAAAAAAGTATTAAAAATACTTCTAATTCAAATAGAACAAAAATTTAAATTGCATTAGAAAGAAAAAGAATGGTATTTATTTTACAATCAAAATTGAAAAATCGATTTTCTCTTCGATTTTCGTGAAGTTATCCTCTTAACATAGTACATTTGAGCAAAGTTAATTGGCATGAAAAATGCTTATCTATTACATCAATTACTTGCTGTACGAGGTTTCAGATATAACTCAGTTCATTTTACAGCCTCAGATGTGAATTCCAAACGCAATTTTGTGCCCTATGATAGTGTTTAAACAGTTATAACAATTCGAGCCCATGATTAAGCAAGTATATCGCAAACGATGTACTCAAGTAAATGAGCTCTTAGTAATATTGGTCTTAGAATGAAGCATTTCATCAGACTTAAAATCATAACAAAAAGGAGCTATTAAGGGAAAAAGAAAACACAAAACATCCCTTTGCAGAAATGTTTTGTTTCTTTTTTCTTTCTAATTTTAATTATAATGCGCTGCATTCCCAACAAGGTAGACTCACAGTCTTAGGATTGCGGTAAGATCCACGTGTTGCCATCATTATAAGAGGTGAAAATAACACGTCGCAATGCTTTGTTGGTAAATAAGTGTCCTGCTTTTGAACAGAATGCTTTGAGATAGCACTTTACACAAAATAATCAACATATGGATAATCTCTTGATAGAATGAAATGTATAAAATATATATAATTTAAAATGCATAATTATAGAGCTGTGTATGTGAAAAAGGTAACTACCAAACAAATTTATATATCATATATATGTTCATTACTACAGATAAAAAAAATGTGATAAATATTGATAATTGATGTGTTTGAATTCCATAACAATTGTTTCAATATTGCTTGAAAGCATCTGCACACACACAGAAACGCAATTAGCAAACATAGAAAGAAAACGTAGCGTAAAGGAAGCGTTTTGTGTTCAGGATGGCCGAGTGGTTATGGCATCGGACTTCTGCACCGTTTGCAAAATGCGGCCGCTTTTCACTTTCAGGTAGTGCGGAATTGGGGCTTTTCTACAGGAACTTGAAAGTATCAAACTAATATGTATCAAGAATGAAATATAAAAAAATACATGTAATTAAAATGTGACGATTTTCAGAAGAGATTAGACCATATTGTATGTCGGCAATAGCAAAAGCCATCGCAAAATGGCAAGCTTTGGATCTTCCATTATTGCAATGCTGTATAAGTGAAATTCATCATCCAATGGAGCGGCCGCACAATTGCAAAGGTGGTGGTTATCCGATTGACTGTTGTGTCTGCAGGTTCGATTCCTGCTCCTAAACAGCGGTTCTTTTTTCTTTCCGAAAGATATAAATATTGAATAGACTAGAGATTATCGAATGTTTGATTTTTAAATTCATGTCTTTAAAAAAAATTAATGAGATTTGAGAAAATTATTTAATGAGATTTTTTTTTCTTCATTATCTTATCGGAAATTAAATATTCATCAGTCAGAAATCTCATAATTTTTTTAATTTTAAATTTGTTTACGAAGAAATTATTTTGTGCACAAACGGTTTAATTTACAAAATAAAATGAACTTACAAAAATACTTTTTCATTCCAATACGATTCAATAACACCTCTTTTTAAATTTCAACATTGGATTCATGTTATTTTTTGCCAAAATTGTAAGGATTTTAGTCTCAATCACCGAATCCAGAAATACGAGGGTGGTCTGAAAAGTTTCCGACCTAACTAAGATTCAAGATATTTTTACTGATTTTTTTTTATTTTTTATTTTTCATCACAGTCTTATTGTAACTCTACACCCTTCTCCCAGCGATGCTCCCATCTGCGTAACTCATCCAAATAGTACTCGGTGTTTTTTTCGCTGCAAAATAATTGTTCACGAAGTTGATTGATTGTCTCCTCATTTAAAGAAAATCCCTGTCTTTCAAGCGCAATTTTTAAATGAAGGAAAAAAGAAGTTGCTTGGGCCTAGATCTGAGGAGTACGACGGATTATCAAGTTATTCAAACCGTAATTCGTGGATTTTCGCCATGGCAACCACTGAGGTGTGAGACGGTCTTGACGTGAGGTGTGCCTTTTCTTGGTCACAGAGGATTTTCTTTTTGTCCAAATGTGGCCGTTTTTCCGCAAGTTTGGCCTTCAGATTTTCAAGTAATGATGCTCGTGTAAGGGGTTTTCCCTTTTGAAGATCATCGATCAAAATAACTCCATGACTATCCCAAAAACAGTCACCATCACTTTCTCAGCCCTAAAAACAGTTTTTGCTTTTTGGTGCTGGTTTCCCCTTTACAGTCTACTGTTTCGACTGTATTTTTGTTTTTTGCGTATAATGGTGTATCTACGTTTCATCTACAGTAATTAATCGGAGCCAAAACTCGGATTTATTGCACCTAAACTGCGCCAACCGAGCGTTTGAAATGCTCAATCGAACACGTTTTTGGTCTAACGTGAGCAAACGCGGCACCCAACGCTTGAACAGCTTTCTGTTTCCTAAATGTTTATTTAATATGTTACAAACACGTTCTTTGACATGTTCATAACCTCTGCTATGTCTCTCACTTTAATTCGGAGGTCGTATAGCACCAGTTGGTGAAATTTGGCTATGTTTTCGTCGGTAGTTGCAGTATTCGGACGTCCCGAACGTTCAACGACTCCCAAGCTCTTACGGTCACGTTTAAATTCAGCTGGCCAAAATTTCACCATGGTAAATGATGGTGCAGAGTCCCTATACACAGGATCCAACTCATCTATGATCTGCGTAGGCGTATTGACTTTCAGAAACAGATAATTAATGCCAACTCGATAGTCGTTTTTGTCCATTTTCACAAAAACTCTCGCATCAACTCATTCAAACCACTGTTACGTAACAACTGCGCGTCCATTATGGCTGAAACTTTGATGAGTGGCTGTCAACAGCTGGGTAACGAAATTCACTAGCTTTTATTGACAAGTGCTGAAATCTTCACGTTCAGGTCGGAAACTTATCAGACCACCCTCGTAAATCTCTCTCTCCCCCTCTCATTTGGCATTCACTATATTCTTATCTCCAAATCATTAGGACAGCAACCATCTCAATGGTTTCAAATATTCTATCTATATTCAACACGTTTTTCTTGACCTTTTACTCTGAATTGTCGAGTCAGCAAAGGCTCTCATGCCAAAATGCCGTCTATTTGAATGAAAAAGGTTTTATTTTTTAACCGAAAGTTTACTTCTTTTAAAAAGGTTCAGATAACTGAAGTTATATGTCTGGAGATAGGAATACTTAATGCATTGTCTGTGACCTGCTCATAAATTAATAAATAATCATGTAACTCTGTTTAAACGTTCTAATTTTTAAATCACGGTTTTGGGAAAATAATACTGTGGATGTGATGCGGAAGTTAGGGGACACAGGTTTTTAGATTTGGGGGGGGGTATCAATAAGTAAATTATACCAGCAATCATAAATGTTTCTTCTTTCTTATTTTAAGTTAATAATAATTTTTTCATAAACAATTATTTTTGTATTTCTCATTGACTCGCGTGAAATTTCACTCAGTCAAAAAAAAAAAAATCGCCTTCAAAAGATTAATAATTATAAAATAAAATTCTTAAAGTTCAAGTCGTTGCTGTTATAGATAATGTTGATAGTTACCCGACTCCCAGCCTTGCTGACAAGAAAGATTACAGGTAATCAGCAAATATTTGAGATAACAAATGAAATAGAGTAATAAAGGTTTGAATAACTCTTCAGATAGTTGAAGATATAAAATGTAGTTTAAAATAATTTATTAAACCGATCTAGTGATAGCGTTCTTTATCTGTATAGGGTTCCTTCCTTAATCACTAAGGATATAAATTTATTTTCTTTAATATAATTTTACATTTTGATTTCAGATGCACCACTTTTACATTGTACGAAAGTATGAAAAAATATTATGATCTAAAGCAGGAAACAGAATAAAACATAAGTAAACAAAAAAGGGGAGGTGTTCAGGATGGCCGAGTGGTTATGGCATCGTATTTCTGCATCCATTGCTAAAGGTGACCATCTATTTTTTTCAATTCATGTGGAATTGGAGTACTGCTAAAGAAATAAAAATGACCCTGGTTATAGATTACGTAAAAAGAATGAAAGGCAAAAAATAAAATCCCATTGAGAAATATGACACGATTCAGAGGGCATTGGACCGATTCACATTGGTAATTTTAAAATCCGTGACAATGTGGCAAGCTTTAGATCCTCCATTTCTGCGGAACTATCGTCTTGTGAATGGTTGTTTAGGCAAAGGTGATAGTTATCCAATTGACTGTTGTGTCTGCAGGTTCGATTCCTGCTTCTGAATGGCGATTTATTTTTTACCACAAGTTATTCATTTTTATATAGACTAAAAAGATTATGGAATGTTTAAAACTTACCTACTGGTTATACATTTTCTTCTTATTGACGTACAAACGAGATGTATTTCATAAAATTAATCGGAAAAAATAAATACATGTGTCTTTCCGTCATAAAACTTATGTTGCGTAGCGTTACTTTTATAAGAGTGTAGGAATTTGCATGCTGTTAAATGTGTGGTATGAATAAAGGGTATCCCGATACTTAATGATAATCGTGTAAAATGTGAAAGTTCGGGTCATATCTATTACGACGAAAATATATAGAAAAATTCCCCTGCACCTGTTTAAGTGATGACGACTACATTTTCGAAAATAAGGAAAATAGTGACCTTCCATCACATCATTAGCATCACAAATGTTACAATTTTACGATGATATTTTCACTAATATCATCTTTCATAGCTGTACTATTATTCGTTGTACAAGTCGGTCAAAAAGATTTCCTAGTTTAGTTGCAATTAACGTTGTATGTGTGAGTCTGGTATTGGAACAAGTAATATAAAAAAAAATTAAGTCAATTCCTACTTAGATTAACAAAGAAAAATTTTATTTTAACTACATTTATTAAATAGTTACAATTAATAGAAATATATATATATATATATATATATATATATATATACATACAAGGGACAAAATCACAACATTAAGTGGTAATCAATTTTTATTAATTATCATTAAAGTATCGTATTGTCATCCAAAACAATCGTGTATATAAAGTTTCATGTAAAATGAATGCTTTAAAACGTGAGAAAAAAACCTTTTCAAGTTTTGACACAAGTCGCCAAAATGGTCGTTAAGTCACCAAAAATGGTGCCAACATGGCTGCATTTGTAATTCTTTAAATAATTAGTTTTAATCAATTAATTTTTATTAATTGTAAATAATTATTGTATTGCCCACCAAAATAATCATGCATATAAAATTTCAGCTCAATTGAGCGCTTTAAAATGTATTTTATTAACGATTGAAAATTCCACCAAAATAAATAAATATATATAGAGAGAGTGTGAGCTAATAGCGTAAAATTGAAAGATGCTACCTAACTTTGACTCTCCAATAAAAAAACAACTGAAAAGTTAGTAAAGATTCCAAAACGGTTCCACACTTGTTAGATCCTGTGCATAATGCTCATAGAGAATTTTTTTATTTGCGGAATATCTTTATTTTAAAATCACCTCTATATTTTCCATTACTTCATTAGGTATTATGACAGCAAATTCCATACTTACACTGTAATTGATCAATAACGCAATTAATTGCAGTGACGAATGGAGCAAAACCCTTTACTGGTTTATAGTTAAAATTATCACACACACACATAGTTTAAGCCGGTTTCAGAAAATGATGTCACCTAATTTTGACGCTTTATAAAAAGAAATATATAACTTACTACTCTAAGATAGTTATTTAGAAAGATGGATCTCTTACTGACAATTCCAAATTGGTACAACACTATCTACATTTTTATCCAAAATAATCCCTTCTGCTTTCTTTTACAAATAGCATTTTTTAAAAAAAAAAAAACTGAATCATAGGAGCACAACCTACTTCGATGACCTATGGAAAACATCCATTTAATGCGTAGAAACCGGCCCCAATTTAAATTTAAAATCAACATGGTACTGGATTATTAAACGGAGAAATAATTCCTGAGATTTTAGTTCGAAAGACGAAATAATTTAAAATAAGACCCAAGGAGTAACTTTTTAAGTGACGTAATATCCATTCCGTCTTCTTCTCATTTTCATTTGAAAATGTCGTTTCCCACTTTTAGATCTCAATTTCCTTCAATTAGTTTGGTATTTCAATACTCTACGAGAAAAAAAACTATCACAAGTCGTTGATTTCAATTTTTAAGAAAGTTTTGTTATATCCATGCAATTAAAAATGTAATTAACGAACAACACAATTTATTCCTTATTCAACTGCATTCGCCTTTTTCTTCGAATTTTAATCACTTGGTATTTTTTGAAGAAAGAAAGTGTCTTCAGCCAAATGCTCTTTTTCCATAGTTTCAGACTGACAGTATCAACAAGGTATAAAAAACGCTTTTGGAAGAGGATTCAGGATTAAAAAAAGTAATGATGGATATTTTTTAAGTGTTGTTAAAGAACATTGCAATTAAACAGATGGAGAATTTAAAAACCATAAAAATTGTTCGACATATAAATTAAGAGAAATACTAGGTAAAATTAATTTGATTTTTTGTTTAATTTTGATATACGTAAAAACCAGTGGCAATTCCCTTATAACAAACAACATTAAAGTTTTGTTTACATTAATCTTGTACTAATGAAAACGTTTAAATTTATAAATTAAATACGTAGAATAAGGAATTTAATTTACCCTGAAGAACATAAGTATTTCACTACGTAATTGAAATCCAGATACAAATGATAAGAACTTATTTGAATTCAAACTTTTTTTCTAATTCTCATATCAGGCAATTGGAGAATTTTGCAAAATAATTTTATACTATTTTGTTAATATCTCAAATTGTATTTATATAAAATTGTATCTGTGTTTTGTATATCTTGCCTATAGAACATTTTTTTTATAAACGGACTTGGGCTGAGGTTATTTCTTATTATTAGTGATGACTTCTTGCTTCAATGAAAAATACACTTATTAAACTAATAGAAACGCTTCCGATATTGATTCAAAAGGCATACTAGAAAAGAGTGTAGCGATATTAATGTTTAAATTTACTCATTATTTCAGGCCATTATTTTTCTTATAAATGGCTCTAGATTGTACCTTAATTATTCCTAGAATTATGATGCAAATATTTAAAACAAATTCCAGGAATAATTTTGTAATCGCTTACCTACCCGTAAAAGTTTAATGTTTTTCCAGAGCTTCTTGATATATTTCAAAGAGATCAGTATTGTTGCGACATAGCCATCTGTCGATAGCTATGACGTGTTGGATCCGCGTAAGTTAGAGGGTGGGATTATCGGAAGGAAGAGACATTTTATAATTCTTAATACAACTTTTATTAAGAATATAACTTAAATTACTTATATATAAGAACAACTAATATTAAGTGAGAGAACAAACCACAAAGTAAGCCGGATATTTAAGTCAGAACGCACAACTAGATCACTTATCCTAAGTATAATTAATTATCTGCCTAATCTAGCTTTTTTATATAATATTATCGCTTAGAGAAAACCTTCCTACCTTGGTTGAAAAACTCATCTATTCTGCTACTTGTAGATAGGTGTACTCATGTACTTACTCTTCCTTATAAATATTATTATCGAAAGGTGGGCGTTTCCTTCTTCCTTTGAGTAGGCCTCTAAACACTTGTTCCGAACTGTTCCACACTAAGCTTTCTCTAAGATTGCCATTCCCTCTCACTAAACTTTCTATCCCTTTTAAAAATATATCTTATTTGCATTGTTGCTGTTTCTCTTTCTTGGTATTGGTTGGAAAATTTTGCCATTAATCGTGGCCGTCAAAAAACGTAGGAGTTATGTTAGAAGAAGAACGCGAGAGATGTCACAACCCCCAAGAAAAAAAACGGTTTATCTAAGGGTTCTAACCCAATAAATTAGTGCCTAAATTTTATTTCTGAATCTTTTCGTTTTTAAGTTTTTTTAAATTTTTTGAACCTATTTTAACTTCTAAAATTTTCCCAATATTTATTTTGGGCTTTAATTTTAAATTTTATTCATCGTAGAATTAATTTTAATATTCAACTTAATTTTAAATTTAAACTCGTGACAAAACACAAAAATTTTATTCCATTAATACCAAACTTAAAATTGTTGTTTAATAAGGGATATTTCCTTTTTACTTTTACTTGTCTTTTTGAAACCCCAAATTTAATAACTTCCTTTGGGGGGGGAATTTTTCCCTGGGTTTGGGCCCCCCAAAATTTTCGTAGGAAAAATTTTTGGGGACGGGGAACCGGCTACTGCCCCAAATTATACATATCAAAAGGCCCCTTTTTTTTATTGCATTAAAAAAAATCCTTTTTCTTTTAAAACCCCTTTTTAAAAAAACCCAAAAGTTTAAATTTTTTAGCAATATTATTTGAAATCACAATAAATTTTATTTCATGCATTGGCCCCCCCCAAGGCGCGCGCGCGTTAAAAGTTAGGCCCCCCCGCGTTTCCCTAACCGTATTAAAATTTGAAAATAAACATATATATTTTATATACAGCATATTATACAATTCAAACTTTTTTCAATAAACCATTAAAACAAATAACCAAAGGAATTGTCGCATCTCACGAAGTCCATCGAAGCAAAAAAATGCGAATTAAATTGTTTTTCCAAAAAGAAAAATTTTTTCAAGTAAAAAGTTAAAAAATAAATATAACTCATTGAGTGTAATTTTTGCTTGGATTATAATTTTTTAAAAACCCCCGAGACTTCCTTCTTTGAAAAATTTTTCCGGCCATTATAAAAGAAAAAAAAAATAAAACAATACAACCTGTTTTTTTATTGTCCCCACAGGAGTCCAATGACGAGGTGCTACCACTGTTCTTTCCTCTTCTTATTCCTTTTCGACTGGAATTTTTATGTTGCTGTTGTGGGGTTGTAGTCCCTTGTCGGTTTTTTTGTTTGCTTGTTGTTTCCTTGGCCCTCGGGACCCCCTGACCCTTTTTGGGTTTAGGTTGTACGTCGGTCCACCCTGAACTTCAGTTGTCTCCGTCTTGTTTTTTTCCTACTTATAAAATAGTACTGGATGAAATGGTTTTTTTTAATTTTTTGTTTTTCCCTCCCCTTTTTTCTGTGGGGTCCTTTTCCCCCCCCGATCCATACGCCCTTTTTCATTCCCTTGCGAGCTTTTCTTTTTTTTTTCTGTCTTTTTGTAAATGAACTAGGAAGCGATCTGACCGGATCTGCGTTTATCGGTCCTATCTGTTTTTTTCTTATATTGTTTTGTTTGGGAGATTAACCCCTTTTTTCCTCTAACTCACGTTTCACC